TGGATAGACCCTATGATCCCTAATCACAGGGCAACCCCAGAGCCTGCTCAGAACACCAGGTGCTTCCATTTACTGTTTCTTTGACTCCTCACCAGGGAGAGGGAATCAGTCTAATCTTAGCGCCTGGGGCTGCACAGGTGATAAGCAAGCATTTGGGCCTCTGAGCTTGACCTCCCACCTGCCCCACAGGTCACCTTCATGCTGCTGGACCAGAACAACCGTGAGCACGCCATTGACGCCTTCCGGCCTGACCTCAACTCAGCGTCCTTCCAGCGACCCCAGAGTGAAACCAACGTGGCCAGTGGCTGCCCGCTTTTCTTCCCCCTGAGCAGACTGCAGTCGCCTAAGCATGCCTACGTGAAGGACGACACCATGTTCCTCAAGTGCATGGTGGAGACCAGTGCTTAGGTTGGGGGGAAGCCAAGTGAGCCACGCCTGGCTCCTGAAGGAGCGCCAGCTTAGACAGGGTGGTTATCAAGATGACCCTGAGGTCCTGCCCCTGCGACCCAAGATCCAACGGCACAAGGATGGACTGGGGCTAGTGTGATCTGGGCAGACTGACACATGGACTGTGGCTGGCCACCAGCTCAGGATGGCGGCACCTTGGGCTGGCTCCACAAAGGCAAAGGGTCCAGAAGGAGGCAGTAGCAGAATTGCTACCCCCTGTACCGACCACACCACACCAGGAGGGCTGGGAGCCACTCCAGCCTGAGTGTTGAGATGGACTTCAACCAAGATGGGGAGAGAATGGGGGCCAGGACTGGGGCATAGATGGTGAGCTAGAGGTATAGGACCTGAGCAAACAAACTCTCAGGATGGGAAGGGGTCTCTGCAGGGCCACCACAGAGAACTGGAGACACACCTCTTTTCTTCCTGCCTGAGAGCAGAACTAGGACCAGAGGGTGGAAGGACCAGGATTGGCAATGTGAATTCAGTCTGTCCCGGCCTAGAAATGAGCTCGCCATCACTGGAGATGAACAAGCAAAGCCCGATGGCTACCCTGCAGGGTGGAACATCAAATTGGGGGTTGGATTGCAAGACCTTTAAGGTCCCTCCCAGCATAGAGAGTCTCTAATTCTAGTGCTCTTGGCCCAGGTGAAGCCCAGGGCTGCAGGTCTGGAAACATTCAGGAGCCTCATACCCTCCTGGCTCCTCACTCACCTTCAGCCTCACCAGCTGGGCTGAGCTGGCCAGTACCTGCCACCCTGGGCCTGGCAGCTCAGCTTCCCCAGCATGCCAGAGCACACAGCCCCTGCATCCTGTGCCTCCACCAGCCCAAGTCCCCTTCACTGCAGCCAGGTGAAACCACATCAGTCTGAGCTCCCAGGAGCAGCCAGAAGGAATGTGGAGAAGGAGAAGGGTTAACCCCTCCCCCTCCCTGCCTGGAGGCCACACCTTAGGTGCTTTCAAGAATCCCAGGTCCTCTGATTAACCAAGATGTTTGCTTCTCTTAGTTGACTGAGCAGAACCGCTGAGCAGAGGCGGTCTTTTTAAATACATATAGAGCCAAAGAAAGAATTAAACTGTTTTGAAGTTTTCATACAGTGTGTGGTTGTGGGAGTTGGTCCTCACTGAGCCAAGCTTAAGAAGCCCGCAGTTCTAGGTGGTGCTGCGAGTTTGGTCGCGCGGCCGCATCGGAGGCTCTGTGCTGGCAGGAGCGCCACCTTTCCACCTCAGTGCCCTCCTTTCCATAATGCGAACAGCCACCCCAGCCTGCCTCCCTTGCTGGGGTCTGCACACCTCAAAGGAGAGGCTCCTCTGGACACAGAAAAGCCTGCCACGGGCTGGCTGTGACCTGCTTGTCTTTTCATCTGAGAGGCTTCACACAGCCATTTCTCATGAGGGTCAGGACTTTCCAGAGGCCCCCTGCTCCCTACCAGGCTTCCCCACAGCTTACTCTTCCTGTACTTGTGGGACTGCCATAGACTTCACTCCTCAGAACTTCAGGGTTTTTATCTGTAAAATGGGTCAGCAACCCTGCCTGTTCTCCCTCTTCCAGCGTTTGTGGGGATCAAAGGAGGTAACGGAGCATTGTGACCCAGTGGACTTAATATATAAGAAAACTCAGATCCAAAAGCGGCTCTAAACCTGGTATACTTTTATGCCACAGCCTCATTTGAAAATAGAAACATCCCACCTGGCCCTGCCCAGCTCACAGGGCCTTCATGAAGCCTAAACACAATAATAGGGTGCAAGTTCTCTGTACACGCAAGGGCTTCTTGCCATGGGTGACAGGCTACAAACTTGCTAGGACTTCTTTTTCTGTCCTCACAGCCTCTGGATTGTCAGTAATGGGAACAGACTTGCTTTTCCTCAACAAGTATGTAAGAGTAAAGGTCTGCCCTAATGAATTATGGGGACCTCTGCCTCCAAGCTGATGTCCTGGCAAATAACACCTTCATCCCTACTCAGAGCCAGGCAGGATGTTTCTGTTTTCAAATGAGGCTGAGGCACGACAGGATACCAGGTTTAGAGCTGTGTTTGGATCTGAGTTTTCTGATATATTAAATCACTGAGCTGAAGGAATTTGTGGACAAGCTTCTAGAAGGGGCTACTATTACTCTTTACCTTTAATTGCTTATTTCTGATGATCAGAAACAATACTCTCTTCAAACAGTGTGAGACGCAGCCATTCTTTTAGCAAAGCCTTACTGAGACTGCATGTGTCATCTACTGTGCTGGACACTAGGGGTGGAGAGGCAAGATGTGCTCCCTGCCCTTGAGAAAGTTCAGTGGGGGCAACAGGGACATAAATAGATCATTACAACTGATGAGTAAGAGAAGCTCATAGAAACCACAGGCTCCCAGACCATCGGGTGAAGGAGGGAGGGCTTTAAGGAAGAGGTGTCATTTAAGCTCAGCCTTAAGATATTTTGGAATGCAGAGGACGGGTAGGGGAGAGTGAAAACACAGAGATGGGAAACAGTCTTGGCAACAGGCAGGGTCTGTGGGGCAGAAGGCTAGCCCTTGGGGAATCACTGATGCCGATTCCGATAATGCCCCAGGAGGGTGAGCACAGAGCAGGGTGGCAGGCCACAGGAGGCCATTGTCCCCACAGGCCATTCCCTGACAATCCTAGGCAGTAGGGACAACTATTACTTACGCCTTTAATTGCTCATTGCTGATTGGAAAGAATACATACTCATTATTGAGAAACTAAAAAAGGAATACACAGAAGAAAGTGAAAAATCTACTCATGAGCCCAGATGTCCCAAGAGTGCTAGTGTGAACAATTTTACTAAATTTTCTTTGTCTTTTTGATGGGTAGATACAAACACACACATAAACACATACACTTTAAAAAATAGAATTAGAACCATACTAAATTAGAGCTTTCTGCTCTACTTTTTTTACTTATCATCCTATTATAAAAGACCATTCTACCATTAGCCCCTTTTTACAGGCAAAGTCATTGAAACTAAGAGTAAGGTAGCTTGCTCAGTGCCGCTCCGAATAAGTGGTGGGGTCAGGATTCAAACGTGTCTTTTGATGCCAAAGCCAGGACTGAAATTATCATGACTGTTTTCAGATGGAGAAACTGAGGCACAGAGAAAGGAAGTGACTTGCCTGAGATCGCACAGCCAGTTCCTGGGAGGGCTGGGCCCTGACCCAGGCCTCCTAGGCTTTTCTCTGTCCTATGTTCACTGTCAGTGTGGGCTCTGGTGGGAATCTGAGGGGAGGAGCTCTGGTGGTGGCTTGCCCTGTGGGTCTGGAAAAGACCATGAGTGAGTACAGAAGCAAGCAGGTGGCACACTGGCCTCATAGCCTGGGTCCTCTGTCTTCAATCAGCTAAACCCCAGCAGAGCACACAGGACCCATACTCCCGTACTGAGCAGAGACATGCTTCTGCCACGTGCGTGAAAATTCTAACCTCACAGTGTTGTTAGGATGCCAAGACCACAGAAGCCACTAGCTTTGTGTACTGTGGGGGTCCCAGTCTAGTAACAGAAACAAGAATCTCGAACAACTGCAGTGTGCTTAGCTAAATGCCAGGCACTGTGCTGAGGGCTGCCCATACGACATTTCATGTAGCTTTCATAAAAACCCCAGGAGGTAGGTGTGATTATTATCATCCCTGCTTTACAGAGGAGGAAACCCAGACTACACAGAGGAAAAATCACTCAGCCAAGGACAGGAGTCAATACTTGAAGCCAGGTCAGTCTATGCCAGGTCTAAACCCTTAAGTTTAATGACTTGATAAGTGACTAGAAGCAGCAGAATATTGTGGAAAAGGAACAACAACAAAAAAGCTATAAGCTAGGAGATCCAGTTTCAGTTCTGCACTGACTACAAATTATTTTTTAATAGTCATAACAAAATGATGACAGTGATAATTTATTGAAGAGGAGCCCTAGTGGCACAATGGTTAAGCACTTGTCTGCTAACCAAAAGGTTAGCCGTTCAAACCCACCAGCCATTCCACAGAAGAAAAGACCTGGCAATCTACTCCTGTGAAGATTATAGCCTCGGAAACCCTATGGGGCAGTTCTACTCTGTCATGTAGGATCACTATGAGTAGGAATTGACAACCGCACACAACAACAACATAATTTATTGAGCAATTACTTTGTACTGCTTTACCTACATTATCACACTTAGTATTCACAACAGACCTGGGAGGAAGATATAGTTTTCCTCATTTTATGGATGAAGAAACAAGCTCAGAGAGACCAGGCAACTTTCCTAAAGTCACACACCTAATAGGTAGGTCCGTCTGTCTCTACAGCCAGAGGTTTCACTCACTGTGGTGTCCTCTCCAGTGATTTGGAGGGGGAGGGAGTCAAACAAATGAGACATGTCATGCTTTCCAGACTGACTTCCAGCCCTTTTTCCTCAGGAGTCCTCTCCAGGGAAGATGCCACCCACCTGGGGTGCTCTGCCCTGCAGGACCACTTGGGTGGGATTGACGCCCTCCACGGAGAAAAGGTAGGATGAAGTGTAGGGCATCATGCCATGGTGGTGACCCTTTGCCAGAAGCTGGATCTCATTTGCTGCCTCGGCATCTGCCAGGAATCTGAGACGTGTGTGTTTGTTTAAGCAAAGCACATTCATGTGGCACAAACAGAGTTTGGGGGAACCATACCAGTTGGGGCTGGGATATTACAATTGTCTGGGCAGATGGCATTCTTTGTCGGGTTCTTGTCTCCAGGCATTTTCCTCCTCAGAAAGACTGGGGTGTGCAGTGCTAATGTAGTGACAGCCATCACTGCTGACCGCTGTACGGTGGGGAGGCTGAGGCCCAGAGACAGGGCGGACACTGGCCAAGGCCACCTAGCAAGTTCGTGGCTGGGTTGTGGTGGTCTGTGACTCCTCTCTGATAGGGAGGAGGTCAGCTGAGCCATCACGCCACCTCACCTGCTGCCCTCACCCTCCCCATAGGGCAGTTTGTGCCATTCTTCCAGCCACAGGGACTCTGAGCCCATTGTACAGATGAGAAGAAGGAGATCAGAGTAGAAGGGTGACTTTCTCAGATGCACCCAGCTGCCAAGAGACAGAGCCAGCCTAGGATCTGGATCTTCTGATCACAGTTCAGGACCCTTCCCACTGTTCCTAGTAGCTTGTTGGTATCGATATTGAAGATTCTGTTTATGGAAACTACTTCCTTCTCTATTCCCTCCCCCAAGACCATCTTTCAAGCAATCCCTGTGCCAGCAAAGGAATGAAATCCACTTGTGACTCAGTGTCTGGGACTGTGGTAGAAAAAAACTCCTCTTTGCTGCCACTGTCCTTTCTGGGGAGTTGTACCCAGAGACGGATTACCCAATAAGCAAGGTAGGCACAGGCTTAATTGTGCCTACTGACTAATCTATAGTGTACAATTTTTACTGTAAGTCGGTATATACCGTGCTTACTGGTTAATCTGCCCCGGTTGTCCCCACCCACTATGCAGATGCCTTTAGAGTGGCTTGAGAGTGGAGGTGGGAGTAGTGAAGGCACCTCTATCCCCAGGACCATCAGAGTGTCCTGTGTTCAGCCTGCCAGGGACTCCATACTCTTGCGGTATGACCTGGGGCCAGTGAGCCATCATCTCTGAGCTTCAGTTTTCCCATCTGCACAATGGATGGGGTTGAAGGTGGAGACAGGACTCCAGCACTGGGCAGGTAGGATTCTGAGCACTAAGAGTCTAACTGAGGGAGGCCCTCTCCCCATGAGATCCTTGGTAGTGTCTTTTCTTAGGCCTGGCCCCTGCTTCTTGCAAAGCTAAGGATCTGGCCCTGCCTGCCCTCACAGAGCCAAAAGTCTGGCCATCTGTAAAATGGTGATAATAAATTCCTACCTCATAGGGTTTTTAGGAGGATGAAACAAGCCAATGCACAGCAAGAGCACACAGTGTGAGCTTTAGTAATGGTACTTTGTATTATTACTACAACCACTATTATTGTCTTAACCCTTGGCCTCCAGCTCACTGAGTGGAGCCATCAACCAAGACCATAAACACCTCCCCTTTCCCGCTAGTTTTTTTCTGCTGCCAAATCACTGATGATCTTAGACCCTTCCCCCACACTGGGCCT